TTTTGGTTGTTCAAATCCTCAAGTCCTGCCTGACGCCAGACTTGTCTTGCGACATCTTGATCCAGCAAGCTGTTGCTTGGAGCAGACCGCAGGCCCACTAGCTTTAACACGCAAACCTGTTCAGAGAAGGCTAATGAGCCTTTGTGAAAAACTTACAAGTGACACATTAAGAATGGAAAGGACAAGAAGATCGTCTCCTTAAATAATCACGAGACCTTAGAAACAAAGAGACTTCTAAATTATAAACTTTAGACTCAAGTGCGTGGTAACAAGGATGTGAAAATAGAAGAGAGAGGTTACGGTCAGGAAGGAAGGAAATTATCAGGGGGAAAGCGCCAAGCCATTACGACTATATAGCACTGGGAACGGGTCAGGATAAGGATTTGGGATGGGACGAGGGGGAAGGAATGATGCCCAACCACTTGGACGGATGGAGATTGAACGCCGACCTGTAGGAAGCGAGACCGTCGCTCTACCGTCCACCCCAAGTGCTTGGGTTGGGCCTTAAAGTGAGGAAGAGGGGGGGGGGGGTCACATGAAGCCTCCCTCGCTGGGTTCATGCATTCATATCAATGACTAATGCAGATTTATTATCAGAATACAGAGATAGTGCAGTAAAGAGGTGTAGGAATGCTAGCATGAAATGGCTACTCAACTTCAACCCAGACAAATGTAAGGTAATATGAATTGAGGAAGGAGCAAGATGGTCCATTAAAGAACATGAAATGAAAGGGAAACATTTCACCGAAACCTCGAATGAGGAGCCAAAAGTTAAGGAGACACCTAGCACTAGAGGCTCACATAAAAACAGCAACAGTAGCAATTTCACGCTGCATGCGTGAAATTGGCCAATTGAAAATTAAGTCAAATCATAAGAATAGCATTTAGAAGTCTGTGGAAGGAGCCCCTGGCAGTCAGCTTCCTTGCGTACTTTTTAAAAGCCATGGGTCAATGTCCCCTCTTTTGAGAGGGGTAAATTTGTCGGCTTCCTAGAATTTAGGATTATTGAAGGCCATGGACTTGTATCTGATTTGTGTTGCCCCAAGGTAATGCTTACCTGTTTATGGGGTTCTGGGAGTTGTTCTACTCCCTAAGTCCGGCCCGAAGCCAGGCTTGACTTGTGAGAGTTTGGTCCAACAGGCCAAGCTTGCGGGCCGCTTGGAGCAGCTCCTGTAAACAGCCTCCACCACATCACTGCCTAATGCATTCCATCTGTTAACTACTCTGACACTGAAAAGGTTAGTCTCTGTGGCTCATCTGGGTACTCAGTTTCCACCTGTGTCCCTTTGTTATGTTCCGCCCGTGCTGAAGTTTTGTCTTTGTCCACCCTGTCAATTCCCCTGAGAATTTTGTAGGTGGTTATCATTTCTCCCCTTACTCTTCTGTCTTTCAGGAACGCGAGTTTTAGCTCCTTTAATCTTTCCTTGTAGCTCATACTTGTCAGTTCCGGGACGAGCCTGGTGGCATACCGCTGAATCTTCTCTGACTTTGTCTTGTGTTTAACTAGGTATGGACTCCAGGCTGGAGCTGCATATTCCAGGATTGGTCTTACAGAAGTGGTATACAGGGTCCTGAACGATTCCTTACACAAGTTTCTAAAGGCAGTTCTTATGCTGGCCAGTCTAGCATATGCCGCTGATGATATCCTATTAATGTGGGCCTCTGGGGACAGGTTCGGTGTGATATCAACCCCCAGATCTTTCTCTCTATTTGACTCTAAGATTTCACCTCCCAGATGGTACCTTGTGTTCAGCCTTTTGCTCCCTTCGCCTAATTTCTTTACTCTGCACTTTCCTGAGTTAAACATTAGTAGCCATTTTCTAGACCATTCCTTCAGCCTGTCCAGGTCGTCCTGTAGTCTCTGTCTATCATCATCTGTCTTGATTCTTCTCATAATTTTTGCTTGTGTGTGTGTGTGTGTGTGTGTGTGTGTGTGTGTGTGTGTGTGTGTGTGTGTGTGTGTGTGTGTGTGTGTGTGTGTGTGTGTGTGTGTTTACTATTTGTGTCTGCAGAGTCGAGCTATTAGCTCTTGGACCTCGCCTTTCTAACCAATTTATTTTATTTTATAAAATGTTAAAACATTGTATATAAACCTGAGTTACCATCAATCTTCTGATTATCAGAATGGAGAAACTGGAACTTCTTTGACAATTAGAAAAAACAATGACATTATAACTTTAATAAGAAAAGATATACTTAATAAGAATATACTTAACGATATGTTGGCTATCCATCAAGCTATAAAAGTAGAGCAATCACCGAAAACCAAGTTCTTAACCCATTAAGCTGTGAACAACTACAAATGTAGAGGAGTCATTAGAACACAACAAAAACAAATAAAGAACTCGATCCCCGCAAACACAACTGGGTATGACCACACAGGAATCAGAAACCTGTACACCACTTGATTGACAGCTGAGAGGCAGGACCAAAGAGCCAAGGTTCAACCCCCCGCAAGCACAAGTAGGTGAGCACATACACCCACCCACCCACACACACCCACACCCACACACACACACACACACACACCCACACTCACACCCACACACACACACACACACACACGTGGTGCCGAATGCTAGAGTCTCATCCGGCTAGTGTAGTGTGGTCCAGCATCATATCCTTGCTCAGTCTCTGACGTCTGCCTCCCCCCTTCCCCCCTCCCCCATACCAGACCCCCCCCCCTCCCCATATCCCCTCTCCCCTAACCAGCTTTATCAAACGAGCGCCGCACTGCCGTTATCACTAGCTGAGTAATATTACCTTCCCTCGACCCCCGCCCCCTGGAGAGCCCCCCCCCCCAGGTGGTGGCAGTAGGGGGGGGGGGGGGAGGGGGGACGAACCCGAGATGAGAAGCACCACGTGGCTTTTGTTTACCTCATCAGTCACGTGACCTACTCCTGCAACCTGTTGCCACATTTGTAATTTCCTTTCATGTTATTTTCTATCGTGGGATACTTGGAGCACACACACCTGAGCGCTACACCTGCTGACTAATTCGCCTCACAACTCGGCCACTTTCGCCATGGCCGTCGCGCACGGAAGCGCCTGAGAACTGTGCCTTAGATGAAGGGGCGTTAAGGGTGGTTCTTGCCAGTGGACAATTAGCAAGAGAATCATCAATAAATAGAGCGAGGTGCGCGGCGGCGGCATCTTTGATAGCTCAGGTAATGCCAGGCAAGGCAGGTACGTCCCTCTTGCCCGCACCACCACCACCGTCCGGTTACGCTCTGTTTCACACGCTTTCGCTCACCCCCCCCCCCCCTACCTCTCCCAGCCTGCAGATTTCCTCCCCTTCCCTTCCCTCCCTTCCCTTCCCTTCAGCCCTCCGCGCTGAACATTGACATGAACATTCACATGAACATTGCTAACGCCAACACACTTCTAACGAGACAAGAGTGTGTGTGCATGTGAGGAAGAAACACAGACGAGGAAGCAACATAGAAAGGGGGGGAAGGAGGGGCAGCAAAGGTGGGGGGGGGGTGAAGTTAATTGTAAGTGACTCCTTGTCCTCCTTGACTGCCCTCAGCTCCCCGAGGCATAACTGTGACGTGCTTGTGTCTCAAGCTAGACACAGATATCATGAAGTAATCAGTGATGGAGTCAGAGTTGGTCTCCTGTGGAATCCTTCCCATACTGGTCTCTGAATGCATGAACTGAATGATACCTGGTTGATGGGTATGAGTTTCTTTCACCCTATGCCCCTGGTACCTAGCAGTAAAATAGGTACCTGGGTGTTAGTCAGCTGTCACAGGCTGCTTCCTAGGGGTTGAGGCCTGGTCGAGGACCGGGCCGCGGGGACACTAAAGCCCAGAAATCATCTCAAGATAACCTCAAGATAGCCATTAGGTTGTATGCTGACGTCATATACTTCTAACGTGAACAGCATGATTGATTCTCAAGCAGACAACAAGATCCTTGTTGTCTTTACTATTTGACTCTTTTATAATATATATATACTGCATATATTTTACTATTTGTACTATATGTATATACATGTGTGTTCAAACCTTGTGTACAGGTACTTATCGTGTGGTACAGGGAGGTACTCCCACTGATAGGTAGTCCCACTCAACTACTTCAGCTTCTGCTAAGAGGAGTCAGCCACAGCCCCGCTCCTGTGCCAGGTAAGTCCACTACGGGCTCAACATAGCCCGTGCTATTCGGAACGTTTTGTTCACAGCAGTTGAATCTTAAGAACAACAGGAGTGAGCAGTCGTCTGTTCCTGTTGATACCTGGTTGATGGGGTTCAGGGAGTTCTTCTACTCCTCAAGCCCGGCCTTGACTTGTGAGAGTTTGGTCCACCAGGCTGTTGCTTGGAGTGGCCCGCAGGCCCACATACCCACCACAGCCCGGTTGGTCCGGCACTCCTTGGAGGAATAAATCTAGTTTCCTCTTGAAAATGTCCTGTACCCACCAGCGTCACCTTGCTTACAATGAATGTTGTCCAGAGTGTCAATGTTCCGGCGGCCCGTCTTGGACCACACCTGGTTGACCAAGAACACTGTTGGACGCTACTGATCGCAGCCTGATATATGAACCACAGCCCGGTTGACCATGTACCTTTTAAAGGTACTGATCAAGTTTTCTGTTGAACACCGAAAGAGATCCGCTAGTCATGCCCTCTCACGTGTAGACGGTCCCTGATGTTTATAAAATACCTGAACTGAGCTCAGTCGATTAAGGCAGTGTCTGGGATGCTCCCGGACGCAGGTTCGAATCCTCGTCACGGCCCTTGTAGATTTGTTCATTTGATGCATCACGTTAGTGTGATCTCTGTGTAATGAGTTATAAAATACCTGCTTGATGGGGTTCTGGGAGCTCTTCTATGCCCCAAGCCCGGCCCGAGGCCAGGCTAGACTTGTGAGAGCTTGATACAACAGGCTGTTACTTGGAGCGGCCCGCAGGCCCACATATTCACCACAGCCCGGTTGGTCCGGCACTTTATCCTGGGCCTGGATTCATGAACTCTTCCATTTTCGATCCCCGTACATCTTACCTCATCACGGCCGTTGTTTACAACAATAACAACCCCGGAGTGTGAACTTTCCATGCTCGTAAAGTGTTTAATAAGTGTAAACAAAGCCGCCTTAAATGAGGAACGATGTAGAGGTTTGTCAAATGGTTGTGTAGGGTCCAAACACCGCAGCCACGACAATCTGGCTGACCACCCCTCCACTACCAGGGATCCTTAAATCAGACAAAAATAAAATACTTTTAACCCCAACCAATCCTCGCAACTGTATAATCAACCCATTAATGGCACAGCCACTAACACCTCCACTGTAACCCCCAGCACAACGATAGCTGCTGACGTCACCAGCTCCACCACCGTCATCCAAGGTCACTTGGTCCCGTTGCAAGCATTAAGGAACCTTGGAAGGAAATAGAGACCACCAAGACAACACATCCACACCCGTGATATTTACCCAGCCCTCTCAGCCCAGCTCAAACACTGGCTCTCGCCAGCCCCACCACTACTTAACAATCACTGAATGAAATATCATTCCTGCACGGTTCCGGACGGTGAGTAATAGTGCAGAATCTGGCGCGCAGAAACTAGTTAGCAACTAGAGGAGTGGTAGGACAGGGAGGGTCTAGAAGGAGAGGAGGGGGACCAGAAGGGGAGGATAAGGGCAGGGAGAACGAGAGCAAGGAAGGATAAGGAGAGACAGGGAGGGTCTAGAAGGAGAGGAGGGGGACCAGAAGGGGAGGATAAGGGCAGGGAGAACGAGAGCAAGGAAGGATAAGGAGAGACAGGGAGGGTCTAGGAGGAGAGGAGGGGGGCCAGATGGGGAGGATAAGGACAGGGAGAATGAGAGCAAGGAAGGATAAGGAGACAGGGAGGGAGGGGGGGGGGAGAACCCTTGGCAAGCTATAGCAGTGAGGTGAGAATCAACGAACTCCGCTGGGGAATCCCCCCCGAATGGACAACAACTCTCTCAGCCAAGGTTTGTTTACATTGCTGCCAGGATACACGTGGGGTCCCAGCCAGCTGGGGCCCAGGGGTAGGGGGCCGCCGAGGGAGGGTAATCAGCTGATCCAGGTGCACGGGGGCAACAGGTGAGGAGGGCATGCCCACTAGTAACCTAACACCGGCGCCCGACTGGACTTGAGCCTCAAGAACACAAGGAAACACTTCAATGTAAGAAAATCAAATGGAATGAATTTGAGGGCGAAGATATAGATTAACTCCATTCATAGTTGAAGAACATTTACATAGTTAAATCAAACAAGTCAAGTAGAAGAATCAAATAATAAAGCAGAGAACAGGAGCTAAAGTTCGGCCTCGTGTAAGCGTTCTAGGCAAGTTACCGCACCCATAAACTTATTTTCTACGCCAGAAGAGGTCATACATTTATACAATGCTGGTCATACATTTTCTTCTATCCTGTATGGACTGAGAGATCTGTGCTCTTTCATACAGTGTAGTGGGTTAATGAGCACGCAACCATAGGCGAGTGAAGAGCTTTCACAATCCTAACCTACACACACACACACACACACACACACACACACACACACACACACACACACACACACACACACACACACACCTTTGCCATCAATCGCAAACAGACAGAACTTGAGATCCGTTGCAGTAACCGTTGCTAAGACCACTCTCCCTCCCTCCCTCCCTCTCACTCACTCTACTAGGCATTCTGCTTTTTATATTACACCCAAAAGAAAAACTAGAGTGGAAGCCTTGTCTGAGGTAACCAAACTCATGGTCACAGTATAGTATGCATGTGTAGAGAAATGTTGCAGTCTCAATATCCCAGTTGCAGAGGTGGTGGCTTAAAGCAGAGCTAAGGAAGTAGCGGCTAAAGTTGACGTAAGGAATCTCTCTAAGTTGTGCTCAAACTTGGGGGAAACTTCGTACCAGGCCGGAGCCGTAGTGTAAGCGCGCACAAGTTCCCGCCAAAACTTCCAGCTGTGTGAAGGGGGTGTGGACGGGGTTAATGGCTCACAGTGAGCGAAATACTCAATGATGGAGGAATTTTCCTCTTGATGCCACGAGAACAACTCCTCTACCCGAAGACCACTCACCATACTGCGTCACTGTTGCTGCTTTGTGGTGACGGGTGATAGTGACGAAGGTGGTGATAACGACAAGGGTGACGATGATAGGCTTGTGAGGGCGATGGTGACGTGGTGGTCAGAGCGAGGTGCTGCTGGGTCACGTGCCCATAGAAAGATTCCACACAGAAAGATTCCACATAGAAAGATTCCTCCACACCTCACATTCAAGCCCCGCTCCTGTGCCAGGGAAGTCCACTTCGGGCTCACCATAGCCCGTGCTACTTCCAACTTTTATTTCGAGTAGCTGAATCTCAAAACAACCACCACCACCACCTCACACTGCCATCACCAGGTCCAATACCCAGACCTATCCTGTTGCAGAGATACGCGCCCTCCTCTTGCTCTCACTACACATCGCCAGGCAGGCACATACCTGCACCATACCTGGATAGTGTTTCCAGAGTTCTTCCACTCCCCGAGCCCAGCCTGGGGGGGGGGGGAATACTCAACACTTCCACGCACGTGTGTATAGTTGTCTACTTCAATAATATAAGTTTTTTTGGTAGGACTTATAGCAATCATTTGGCGCCCAAAATGTCAATGATCTTCAAGAGCGGCATCATCCAAGAGTACCATCATCAAGAGCGGCATCATCAAGAGCGGCATCAACAAGAACAAGCAAAACACATCACCACCACAGTCTCAAGTATCAACCTATACGTAAATACTTCAACTCAAGAACCATTCCACATACACACACACACACACACTGACTCAAGTCACACTTGAAAAACAGGAGTGTGAGACTTAAAAGACATTTCCAGACTCCTCCAAGCATCTCTTGAGTTTTTATAACGCAGTCGACACCAACGTAAAAATTGCCATGGTTTCGTGAATTTCAAACCACCACATTAGTGACGCTTTCTGGGACTACCGAGGACTAACCTCAACAGTTTGGTCGTCCTCTCCACGCTTCAGATGAGGGTACACCACCTTGGGTATACTTCTAAAGCATCTTTTACCACCAGGAAGAGCTCTAAAGCCCACATCTCCACATGAAAGTTTACAACGGTGTACATTCCGTGCTCTCCCCCCACCCGGTCTGACGTAAACAAAGCGCTAGTCTCCACCCACCCCCGCTAACACTAGCGCTAGTCCCTCCGCCCCAAAACGCTAAACCTGCGGGCTCACCATAGCCCGTGCTACTTGGAACTTTTTGTTCCAGGTAGCAAATCTTCAAACAACAACAGCAGCTACACCTTCACATTTCCGCTCAAAACATCATACCTCCACAACACCATCCATCAACATGATCGTCTCTCACAGGGAAATAATTTACAGTAAACTTGTGTAAACTACAGAGGTACATAACATTAATTTAAGAATATTTTCACTTTCAGAACGCGAGGTTAAGCACTTTTTATACCACAATTCTTACCTAGGCTGGTAAGCAGAGCTTCTTTCACCCTGATGCCCTTGTTACCTAGCAGTAAATAGGTACCTGGGAGTCAGTCAGCTGTCACGGGCTGCTTCCTGGGGGTGGAGGCCAGGTCGAGGACCGGGCCGCGGGGACACTAAAGCCCCGAAATCATCTCAAGATAACCTCAAGAAGATAGACTGTACCACAATTCTAGGCAAGTTTGTAGCAAAATCTAAGCTCGGCTGTACACAATTTTTGGGTTATCTTGAGGTTATCTTCAGATGATTTCGGGGCTTTTAGTGTCCCCGCGGCCCGGTCCTCGACCATGCCTCCACCCCCAGGAAGCAGCCCGTGACAGCTGATTAACACCCAGGTACCTATTTTACTGCTAGGTAACAGGGGCATAGGGTGACAGAAACTCTGCCCATTGTTTCTCACCGGCGCCCGGGATTGACCCCGGGACCACAGGATCACAAGTCCAGTGTGCTGTCCGCTCGGCCGACCAGCTCCCTTTCGTACGGGTTCGTACATTTCTGATTAGGCAAAACAACAATATAAGAACATAAGAACAAAGGTAACTGCAGAAGGCCTATTGGCCCATACGAGGCAGCTCCTATCTATAACCACCCAATCCCACTCATATACTTGTCCAACCCGCGCTTGAAACAATCGCGGGACCCCACCTCCACCACGTCACGCGGCAATTGGTACATTTTTGGGTACAGTACAGTGACAAATAACGAACATGGATGCAATGTTGACGTTACAACAGTCTTGCAAGCGCCCGTTGCACGCACGGTTGAGCATGTTGCTGCCCGCCTCACCGTTACCTTGAGGTGCTTCCGGGGCTCAGTGTCCCCGCGGCCCGGTCGTCGACCAGGCCTCCTGACCAGGCCACCGTTGCCTAATTTTCAACACAACGGCTTCAGCAGTCACAAAACGAGTAATAATGCAGGAGCCCCATTGGTGGACGACAACGGCCGTAACCAACCGCCTGAGGGCAGGGTGATGGACAGATAACACCCCAGACGAAAGGTGATGGACAGATAACACCCCAGACCAAAGGTGATGGTCAGATAACACCCCAGACCAAAGGTGATGGTCAGATAACACCCCAGACCAAAGGTGATGGTCAGATAACACCCCAGACCAAAGGTGATGGACAGATAACACCCCAGACCAAAGGTGATGGTCAGATAACACCCCAGACCAAAGGTGAATGACAAATAACACCCCAGACCAAAGGTGATGGCTATACCAGTCCCTTAGTGCTGGTGTTGGCTATACCAGTCCCTTAGTGCTGGTGTTGGCTACACCAGTCCCTTAGTGCTGGGTGTTGGCTACACCAGTCCTTTAGTGCTGGTGTTGGCTACACCAGTCCCTTAGTGCTGGGTGTTGGCTACACCAGTCCCTTAGTGCTGGGTGTTGGCTACACCAGTCCCTTAGTGCTGGGTGTTGGCTACACCAGTCCCTTAGTGCTGGGTGTTGGCTACACCAGTCCCTTAGTGCTGGGTGTTGGCTACACCAGTCCCTTAGTGCTGGGTGTTGGCTACACCAGTCCCTTAGTCCTGGGTGTTGGCTACACCAGTCCCTTAGTCCTGGGTGTTGGC